CTGCAACAAGCCAGGGGTGCAGCGGGGGGAGCAGGACTCGCTGCCGTGCTGGTTGCAGGAGGTGGAGCCCAGCCCAGTTGCGCAGCTGGTTTTGCTGTGTCAGGAAGGGCTGATGGTGCGTATTGATCTGGAGGCCATTAAACTCCTTGGCTGGGGGAGGTCTGAGAAGCTGGGCTGGCTGCAAAAATGCTCCCTTGAGGGCACTTTCAAACTGCCCAGCTCATCGGACAGAAAGTGGCATCCCCTGTGCCAGAGCTGCCCGCGGCACCCAAGCATGCCTGGCTGGCTGTGAAGACTCAGGAAATGGAGCTTGTGAAATTGGGGAAGGAAGTTGAGTCGAATTTCAAGTTTATTTAAACCCTGCAACCTCCAGTGCTCTGCTGCTCTCATAAACACTCCTGCCGTGATGCTCTGCGCTCCACACAGTGCTGGCTGTCTCCTGCCCCGGGAGGCTGCTCCCACCTCCTCCTGGGGAAAAAGTGCAGCTCAGGACAGGACAGACCTACACACCCATCGCCGTGTGTCCTGGAGGGCCTTGTCTCAGTGGGAACATGCTGGCAAAGGCCAGGTGCCAGGATCAGCTGGGCTCCTGACGCTGCCCGGGTCCTGGCATCTTTGCTGCCACGCGGCCAGGGCTCCTGTGCCTGCTGGGATGGTTTCTGCGAACCCGAAGCCTCTGGGACCAGCTGGGGTCGGTCCCCAAGGAGGCGGAGTTGTTGTAGCCTTTCTCAAACCAGCTCTTCCCGGGGCAGTTTTGGGTCTGGATGGAGAGGTGGTGTGAGCCCAACTTGTGCCACACCGGTGCACATGCTGCCTAAGGGCACCAGCATGGAGAGGGGTGGTACAGCCTGGTACCCGCTGCCCACCATTACTACGGTGCTGCTGCAGCTCTGAGCCCCTTCGGTGTGGTCCTGGGAGTACACTGTGGAGTGGCTCGTGGGACACTGTCTCCTGCCAGGTCTGGCTGGTGCTCATATCACAGGGCCACGCAGGGGAGAGATGAGGTAAACCCACCCCACTGCATGGGATGTGCCTGGCTCCTGTGGTGATGGGGGGGACAGCCTGTCCTGGGGTGGTGGCACAGCCCAGCCCTGGGGTGCCCCATCTCCCATCTGCGGGGGCTGGGAGGCTCCCTGGTGAGCAGCCCTGGTCCCAGGAAGGAAATATCTTGGGAGGCTGCTTTTGCCTGGGGGTGCTGGGCAGACAGAGCACCAGCGTGGGCACCCCCAGCCGCTTTCCCCATCCTTTGCCTCCACTAAGGGCAGCTCAACGCTGGCAGCAGGGGCCCCCAATGTCCTGTGGCTGTTTTGCTGCTGTGCTGAACCCATCTGGGCGACCTGCTTCTCTTTCATTTCATTTTGGGGCTTCCCAGCCCCAGTGCGATGCAGGGGTGTGTGTGCTCTCGGCTCCAGCGAACAGGGTTAAATTGGCCTCCCCGGTCTGGAGAGAGATGTCAGGGGCTGTGGTGGGTGGGGGGCCCCACGGGCTCTCGGAGGGAAGTGCTGAGCCCAGGTGTGTGGGCGTGAGGGGTTTTTCTGTGCCTGGCTTTGATCAGGCACACACTCACTGGCTTTTACAGCGGAAATGTTAGAAAGGGGATGGAGATGGTGCCGGTGCGAGGGGGGAGCAGGGCCGCACCCTGCAGTCCGCCATCACCTGCGGCATTGCTCAGAGCAAAGCAGCTTTAAGAGGCTTTTGGTGCCTGCACCCATCACCCATCAGCAAGGGATTTAAATACGTAATACCATGAAGTCTGAGGAACTTGGGAGGCTGGGGCTGTCTCAAAGCCTGAGGACAGAGCCAGCTGCAGCTTTCCTGCACCAGCAGTGAAATTGGGGGCAGGAGAAAATTGCAGGAGATGAAGCCCTAAACAAAGCTGTCGAGAACACGGCTCCTGTCCCCCAGAGGGGGAAGGCGATACCCCCACTGAGCCTGGTGCTAACTGAGGAGCCAGCCCTGGCCAGGCGGCTG